TATATATTTAAATATAGCCTATGTATAAACAAATATATAAATTATTTAATCTATTATTTAAAATGTGGATCGTTTTTATCAAGGAGGCACCCTTCGAGTGGATTAACACAAACGATGTGTTTTAATTGTTCACACACACAAAAATTATTTTATATAAGTGGATTTTTAGTTAACGAATTAACGAACTTTTTGTTTTGTAAATTGCATAGTTCTCTCTTCTAAATGCACATTTAGAAGTGTGTGTTATATGCAGTCGTTTTTATAGTCTGGACTTTTAGACACGCTGAATATCTCCTTTAGTGTTCTGAATACAACTAGGGAAATAAAGAATTGCTCTATGGTTGAACTGATTTGTGGGTTATAAAGCTTTTTTGAATGACCCCCTTCCTCGAGCCATTTTTCTTCAAAGTAATGACCTGGGCACAATTCAACATGAGCGAGCAAACTATGCATTCATTACTATAGAACTTTAGAGTGGGAGAGACCCAGAGAAGGGGTGAACCTGAGGTCAGCGCGTCTAACAAATATTAAAATGTACTGGGACTCGTGACACGTTGAACATTTGGACTAATGGTGGAGAGCCAGGATGATGTGATGCTGAACGACTTGGTATTCTCAGAAACAACGTACGTAAGTGGTGAATAATTATATGAGAAAACTCGTCCCATTTGGAGTTCAGCTAGAGTTCACGGAATTAATTTCCATTCCATCGTAACATGTGCCGTTGCTGGGCAGTGTTGTACCCTCATTATATATATATATAGGTGAAGCGGAGGTCAGCGCGTCTAACAAATATTAAAATGTACTGGGACTCGTGACACGCCTCGCTGTTTAACAAAGACTGCCAAAGTGCGAGATTAATATGAAAACTTGAGAGTCCACAACAAAATGCCTTATATCGCCCAATGGTATTGTAGAGCTCACAGCGGCTCGAGGCTAACGTGCATTATATTTTTAGTTGTTTTAGGACAGAGAAGGCTGCGTTGTGTGGGGAAAGCCCCTTGTTGTTGCCAGCAAGATAAAGCCTCAAAACGGAAAATACGGCGCGATGACTCCTGCTGTCGAAGTTGGTGGCTCGGTGCTTTTTCCTTATTATTGCTTTTTCTGAGCTCTTAAATCGGTTGAAGATTTTCTTGGATGTTTTAATGTCCGCCTGTCTGTTATCGTCGCGTGATGTTAAAGAGGAGCTCGAGGGGACCCACGGAAATGAGAGGGAGCTGAGCACACAAAGGTATCACGGCGAGGTCACGGGCTAAACCTGTGGCTTTGGAGAAAGGAGAGAAAGGGGGGGTTCAGACGGAGGGACTCGCAGGAACGGTTGAAACGAAAAGAAGGGCTTCGGAGAGGCGACAATCCCTTGCAATGACCATGTACAGCAAAGGAGAGAAGATATGGGCGAGAGACTACCAAAATGAGAGGTGCAACGGTCAGAGTAAAAAAAGTAAGTAAAGAAAAAGGCGCTTCATTTGCATATCGCGGCGCTCTCTTTTGCAGGTGTTTGCTTGGGCAGACCACGTGCTCTCGCACACTGTGGCGAGAGTACGGGTCCCCCCTCCTATCATAACGGAGTTATGACTTTATATTCGAGCCCCACGGAGTTGCACTGTTGCGAGTGTGGGCTTTATATCGTGAATATTTACCTTGGCTATAGTCTCTGAGCCGCGGCTTTGAATGCCTGTCGGTGTACATATTAACCCCATAATGAGGCAGATGGCTTGAGGTCCCCATGGCTTTTAGAAGGAGATGGCTCTCGGGGGTGAAGGCGAGGTCGGGGACTTCAGGGGGTGAAAGGGTTAGAGCGGACACCAAGGCTGAACTTTCTCCTTTGCTGTTACAATAGATTTGCATCGATAAAATGTGAAATAAGATGTAGAGGTTACATGCGAAGTAAAAGCTAAGTCATCTAAACAAAATGATTAGCTGTTTGCATGTTTTCAACTCGGACATGGATGCTAACGTGCTTCAGTGCAAGAAGGTCGGCACAATTATTACCAAGCAGAAATCAAAATAAATTGAGAGAGAAGAAAGGAGTCAGGCAAATTAAAAAAAAGGGAGCTGAAAATGGCAGAGGCCCATTTGAAAAATTGCCAGAGCTTTGACTGCCAAACGCTAGGGGTGCTACAGATTTCTTTGATATGATGCCATTTTTTAAGCACATTTAAACTGCTCCGTGAATGGAAAAAGATTTTCCTTCGTTTGAGAATATTTCGATACTATTCGATATTATTTTGATACATTTAATAATACAGCTTTTTCGTGTATACTTTGGAGTCAATTTATAATCTTTAGTAAATTTTCTGCCTTTGCCGCAGCAGAACAAAGACTGTCCAGAAACCCTCCAGATTTAGATTGGCAAACAATAATAAGGAATGAATGAATGAATATATATATATATATATATATATATATATTCCAATATCATACCAATATTGTGACATTTACTAAATCGTTATTTTATATGTACATATTTAGAAAAACGAAAATATTTATTTAAATTGTCAGCTGTTTGGCATTGTTTTAGTGCTTGAAGGAAAATTATAATGTTAAAATGACAATATTACGATATATTGTGTTATGGTGCTTGTTTGAAATATTTTGGTATGAAGCACAACGACAATTTCGTTGGATACAATATTGATTTTACGATGTTTGTACTATAGTAACTTTTTTTCTGGTAGAGTTTTCTTTTCGTTAAGGTACGAAATGTGGCAAACGGAGCGTTATGTAGTTACAAACAATTTTATGTTTATCCCTCATTTTTGTGTAGATTTACTAACGTAACATAGCCTACTGCTTGCTGCTGTAATAAATCGGATACGGTCGATGATTTTAAATAGCAAGTAAACTCCAAAAATTCATGCGTTTTCGTTTTTTTTTTCCCACTTAGCCTACTCCATTATTCTTCCTTCTACTGTAGAATTAAAGGAAATCTTACCTTTTCTGTACGTCTAAAAACCAGCCTTGAAATATCGGTGCATCCCCAAAACAAAGAGAATCTCCTTAGAATGAATTATTTCTTTATTTCAGAGCGTTCTCCATGAAATGAGTGACCGAGTGTTTGGTGAGAGAAACGCTTGTTTAAAGAGTCATAAAATGTTTGCTCGGTGTCAAGGGGTTAAAGAACTAGTGGTATTGTCCTATGTGCATATTTTATTGTTTTATACCTCTCACCTCACTATTTATTCGCCGTTTGACTGGTGTTTGCCGGCAACAAACAGAGCTGACCTGCCATAAAACCCACGTCTTATTCCAGTGGCTGTTTCAGCTTTCTTTGACCTTTGTTGAGATCTGTCGCGGTCGCATTTACTTGCTGGCCTGTACGCGCTTTCTGTGCTAGATTCTAAGGAACTATTTTAAAATTCATGTCTGTCGTGAATAGATGTTATTGTGTAAGTCTTAGCTTGTAATTGTGTGTTTTATTAATTTCCAACATCAGTCTATTTTTTTTTTTTCAGATTTCAAACGTTTTTGACATGAAATAGCACACCAGACGACAAAGGTGTGTTCTTCGACCGTTCAGTATATATATTGAAGAGACAAAGAGATTGATCTTCGAGGGTATGAAAATGTTGTTTCTGGGCCATATAGTGGAAAAAAATGTCCATTTTCCTCTCGTATGTTATGCGTTTAGTTTCTATGTCGGGGAGAAATGTACAAGAAAAACTCCAGTGTTTACCACAAACCATTAGCAAAGTTTATAAAGGAAGCACCGATCCGTTAAGTGGCGAGACAGATTGCTGATATCCTTGGAGGCAGACTGTTCCAGGTGCAACACTTGACACTGGGAAGGTACTGTCAAGGTGAGCAGGCTCTCTCAATACCTGTCAAGAAGATACCTGTCATCTATATATACCCTGTAGATCCGGATTTGTGTATACAGACGCACAGTCACAAATTCGTGTCTAAGGGAGTATGTAGTTGATGTATAGGCTACATTTCAACTTCAACGGGCAAAGAAGATGACATTATAACTTTCGGTTTGTTTATTAATGACTGTTTGTTAGTGGAATATTGTTGCAGTAACGAAAGTTCTTTTGTTCCCTAACTACTACATTTTTTTTTCTGTAAATTTTGGTGTAGAATTGAAGGGCGTTCATGATGTCACACATATTTTATGAGACTTTTAAAGAATTCGAAATGAGAAAAAAAGGAAAGAATTCGAAATGAGCAATAATAATAATAATAATAATAATAATAATAATTTGTATAGTTTTGCACTGATTAATGATTATCCGAATGCAGTTAATTTAAAACATTACTATTAGTAAACAGCGAGAAATATTTGCTACTGGTGTTAATAGTGAATTAAGCACATATATTACTATTCAGTGTGTGTAGATTTGGCATACAGGATAAACGCGCTGTTTGGAGTGGAATGACTGCAGACTCCGTTTAAATGCAGGTCTCCTTTGTGATTTAGGAGGCTTTGTAACCTGAATTAGTTGATGAATTTTCTATCGATCTTAAACAAGCCCAGATTCATCTCTGACACGCTGCTCACGCCACGACTTCTCTCACCTTTATTAGCGAGTGCATTTAAGAACTTGGCCAAGGCGAGCTTCTTGCATCACTTTCCCCTGGTACCGCTTTTCATGAACATTGGCCAAAATTAAGCAGTGTTTCTATTCGCCAAATCTGAACAGTTCTTTATAGAGGTGTAGTCATGTTCTCAACGTGCAGATGAACTGAGAGGGACTGGGGGCGTGACTTTCTGTGGGGCTGGTAGAATCCAGCATGCCTTTTCGCCGTGTCTGCATTGGCTTGTTATTGTTTTGATTTACTCACTATCTCATCAAGTGCATAGCAACGTTTGAGAAAGAATGGAATTTTAGACTATTCCGAAATGTGAGTTGATGAGCGCGGTCTAAATTGACTAATCCCATTTCCTTATCCGGGAATCGCGAAGATCCACGCCATTGGCTGACGATGTCACATGGACCCTTAACTTTGTTCACTTGACAGAAAGTAGGAGGGTTCTACGAAACAGGAAAACGAGTAAAGGGATACATATAAATTTTAGTATATTTTGTGTGCAATTCAAAGAAATTAATGGCCATGAGTTCCTATTTGATCAACTCCAACTATGTGGACCCCAAGTTTCCACCCTGCGAGGAATATTCCCAGAGCGACTACCTACCCAGTCACTCTCCGGACTACTACAGCGCCCAGAGGCAAGACCCCTCGTTCCAGCATGAGTCGATCTACCACCAGCGGTCGGGCTGCGCCGACCCACCCTACTCATCGTGCCATGGTTCGGGGCAGCCTGCCGCGGTCATCTCTCCGCGAGGTCACGTTCTACCCACAACCGCACTCTCGACCCCTCTCCGTGAACCAAGCCATCACTGCGACTCGGTAACTCCGAGCCCTCCGCCTGTCTGCGGTCAGACTCCCACTAGCCAAAACACTTCACCGGTCACTTCAAGAAAGGATCCCGTGGTATACCCCTGGATGAAAAAAGTCCACGTAAACATCGGTAAGTGCAGCTAAACTTCTCTTACTAGTGTTTCCGTGCGCAGACAGCTCAGCCACTTTAGAAAGCCTAATGTCCGGCGTTAAATCTATTGCTCCCCTTATGAAGTTGCCCTTGGTCGAGATTTACGATCGTCTGTTTGCAGGGCAATATAATTACACCCTCCATAAATTTTCATTGCACTCCTTCTTTAAGCTCTTTCGGGGTCTATGCAACTTTCTCGTTCTAATTTCTTCCCGAGAAGAGGTTTATGAGATCTCATGTAATCCATAAGTTAAGTTTTATGTTTTAGTAATTAGATTTTAAGTGACTGGACGGACTGATGTGTACTTTACATTGTCACTTAACTATTGTTAATAAAAAAAAAGTTTTATGGGAGCTAAAATATTAATAGTTATGGGGACGATAATAAAACATTAATGGTAATACAAACAGTCGGACTCTTTTACAAACTATTATTCCGCGATAATTAGTGCTTGTATTCATACAACTGCCTTGGGGTGCGCTCAAAAGGGGGCAAACTCCGTGTTTGCAAAATCACGGTTTAACATTAGTCGCCCATAGCCAACTATAGATTATGCTGTGAATTGCTGAATATGTGTTTTTTTTATGAATTCTTACGCAAAAATGTAATACTCCTATTGTTTTATCTTGTGCTGCTATTACTGACTTATTTTGAGCAATAAAATCTTGAAATTAGTGTCACTGTCCCGACACTATGCAAATTGCTTATCTTAAATAGACAATGGCCACTTTTTTTGTTTTGTTTACCATTTTTGCATAACCGAAGCTTTAAACAGTGACATTGTATACTTGCAAATACGAGATAGACAGATTTTTTTCACGTTTAAATAAATAAAGTACCTACATTATATTATTATAGTGTTTGTGCATCTGACTGTTGATGAACTGGAGTGTACATATCATATGTAAGTGTGAGTGTGTGTTTGGGGGCTGTGTGTGTGCGTGTGTTATACTTTTTTGTAACGTGTCGCTCTCCGTATCCCAACAGTGAACCCGAACTATTCAGGGGGTGAACCCAAGCGCTCACGCACAGCCTACACGAGGCAGCAAGTCCTGGAATTGGAGAAAGAGTTCCATTACAACCGCTATCTGACTCGCAGACGGAGGGTGGAGATTGCCCATACACTATGCCTATCCGAACGACAGATTAAGATTTGGTTTCAGAACCGGCGCATGAAGTGGAAGAAGGACCATAAACTTCCCAACACCAAAATACGCAGCAGCTCTGCCAACACTAATTCAAGCAGCTGCCCGACACTGGGCAGCAATCAGAACCGAGCAAGCGGACCTCCGCCAAGTCTATAGCACTCCACTGTTGCCCAAAACATGTACAATTATAAAATCAAATTTTCTGGAGTGTAGAACGTGGATTTTACCTGCGTTGTGTCTCCCTACTCTCCCCTGCACTCTAATTACAGGGATAAAATACGAGGAAGATGTGGGGGAAAGGAGCAAAGAAAATGTTCATTTTTTTAACACTAAAAATGGGTGAAGACTCGAACTCAAATGCTAGATGGATTGCTTTCCCAGTCTGGTTCCCATTTTTATCCCGCACGCCTCTCCTGCTCACTCGCCCCTTTCATAAGCACAGAAGGCGGCAGATAGTTTTCAGATTTGGTGAAGATGGATCCGTGTTTCATCTTTAATCACGCCAAACTCGGCCTCATTTGTCATGTTTACTCTGTGGTACAAAGGATGAACCGTAGGCCTGCCCATTACCTCGACGTCTAGCGTTGTGCTTAATAAATGAGTCGCTCTGTTTTGTCAAGAAGCCTTTTCTGACTCCCTTTATTCCCCTGGCTTAAAAATAACTAGCCGAGTGTTTTTCAACTGATATGAAGTTTTGTATTTTGTAGCAATTAGGTTATTTTGCATTTGCTATTTGCATTTCGAATGCAATGCCAATGTGACTGAGGGTTTATTGTGCGTGTGGTCCATTTGTCGCTCATTAAAAATACAGGTACTTGTTTCACTCGCCTGTTTAGCGCATTTCAGTTTAAGAACAGCAAATTACTAATTAGTTGTTCATATTAAATATAATATAAAAGTTCAATGAAGCTGGACGGCTAGATATGCATAACCAAAACCGGTACAACGCAAAGCATTTTAAAGAGAGCACTGCTAAGTACTATTTGAATTACCTCAATTGTTTTTTGTTTGTTTGTTTTTCGTTTTTTTCGTTTTATGAAGTGATAAGTTTAAGTTATTTGGACTTAATGGCAAATATCTGCAATAGCTAATCTCAGCATTTGTAAGTTGAAATGAAATTTAAGTTAAGTGTGGCCAGGGTTGTATAGAGAAAGGTGCGTATATTGCTCGAGTAAATACACTATATTTTCGTTTATTCTACTTCCACCCTTTTATGGTACATAGACATGTGCACATACATTTCGCTTTCTTTCTTTCTTTCTTTCTTTCTTTTTTCTCTCAATTGTATTCATTTTATTATTATCATCATCATTATTATTATTACATTCCAAAGATCAGTTTTCTCGCTGATGAATTGTAAATGTCTCCTCTTACATGTTTGTATTTTGTCTTCTTTCTGCTTGTACCTTTCATTGTTTACATTTGTTACTGTAAATAGCTCTAGAAATTTAATAAATGGCGGAAAAGTATAATCTTTCTTCATGTGTCATGTCTTCTTGTGGATTCTAAAGCTAGATATGCTTATTTTAAATACATATTTCTTGTATAGGTGGATACCATCGTCCTCTGTTTAGCTAAAAACACAATTTAATTGAATTTGACTTGCCACTGCGCATTTTCGTTAGCCTTGTAGCACTCGCCTGTCTTAAAGATCACTGCCTATCTCTCTAGTGATTTATATCGCTGCATTGCGAGTAATCCTGGTACATTACGCCTTGTAATCTTATTCTAAATCACAAAACCCTTCCTTTCTGTCTCGTCTCTCCTTAATTTAACGGTGCACAAACCCTCTGCTCAACGATGCCGTGAATGCGCCTAAAAATATGGATCCATGTTAGAAAAAAGCAGAAGTTAAATAGTTTCTCGGCTCGTGGGCTTTTAATGCTTTAATGAGTGTAATTCTTGCACAACAGTTTCGCGACTGTTTGCCAGCGCAAGCTGTGTGTTTTTTATATTACAAAGGAGCGGGTCGGTGCCATAGCTCAAACCCTGACAACCAAATAGATAATCAAGAAGACAAATGGCTTCTTTTGGAAGGCGCAGCCCTCGTATTAATTTTCATTTTCTTTTCTTAGAGCAGGTATTGAAAATATAGAGCCGGAGAAAATAACATTCCGTTTACTGGCGTTGAACTTTACACAAAAGTATGGCTTTAAATTGGTCTTCTAGCATTCCGTGGCACCGAGAAGATTTTCTATTACTTGCTTGTTGATATCAGAGGCCTTTTCGCCGCACAGCCCGCTAAAGCCATTTGTCTGTTTTCTCCCTTTTATTTATGAAATGCTGTCTGGACATAACGTCAAACACTTCAAAAAGCAAAAAATGTGAGGCAGTAAAATAATTTGAGGACCATTCTCTAGTTGAAATGGTTAAATATACACAATTGTTAGCTAATATTATTTGTAGTAGCATAAATATGTCATATTTTTTAACAGATTAATATAGATAGATAGATAGATAGATATATAGATATTCATCTACATGCACCCATTTTGTGGTTTAGACCCAAATCTTGCATCCAACTTAAATGTAATTTTAACATGTCTCTCAAAAGTTACTCGAGAACTTAAATGGATGCATTTGCGTGTGGCATCTGAATAGACCTTGGAATCCTATTGTTGTCACACATATTTTATTTTCTTTAAAAAAAAGCCACACCGGTTTGAATAGAAGTGAACAGATTTCTTTTGAGGGCCTCAAAAGTTCACCACCATTATTTGCAGACAGAAGCCTAAAGAAAAATGTGAGAATTATACAGAAAAATCATTAATCACCGCTTCTCTTTAAACAAGTCTTCTCTCCTATTGTCATTCGGCAGCACAACTGCTCGGACCTTCTGCTAGGAGGGGAGTGAAATCTTGAAGGGCACTTGAAGACATCCCCCCTCCCTCCTCTACCATCTTCTATTCACTAAGTCATGCCGCAAGAAAACTTTTTTGGCGAGGGATGTCCCATGAAGAATCTCTTGAAAATGTTAGCGCGAGTGAGAATCTTCGCAGGACAAGAGATGGCAGCGTTTAAGGTACAGTACTTTTGTTTTATTTCCCGCACTTTTAGTGTTTTGAGTTTTATTGCTTTATGGCCTTCTCGCAGTAGGGTAGCAGAGGCACATTTGTCGTGTTGTGCCACGGATGGGTTTTATGGTTGCTTTGACAGAAAGGGTAGCTTTTGGGAACCGGTTGTCGTGTGTTTAAGATAACTTCTAGGTGTGTGCCATCACAACTAAAGTGGTAGCATGTTTTCCTTTTCGTCTTGGAGTCATGTGCGTGTGAACGCGCATGTGTATCTTCTATCAACACTGAATATGCATGAGTTGCAATGTGCCACATACACATCTGAGCAATATCTAGATATGCCATATGTAAGTCTCCTAGCTGCCAATTTGACATGCTGCCCTTAATGACTGTTGTTAATGGCACTTTATTTCTTTTACATATAATGTTGTTTGTGTGCGCGTGTGTATGTGTTTCTCCACCCTAAAACGCCTTTTTATTTCATCAGAGAGCTTGGGTGGCACACAGGTGCAAAGCGGCCGGTTTCGAGAATAAATTATTCGATGCTCTGTTGGTCAGACAGGAATGAACAGCACCGAAGAGAATGTCTCGAGAGCAACTATTTGCCTAAAACAAACGACTTGTAGCAAATTGCTTCAATTGCATGTTGTGTGCTTAGATGAGCACCAATGCTCTGATACGGGCTCACCGCCTTTTAACCCCTGCAAATCAATCTTTTGTGCGTACTGGAGAAAAGGCCAGTGGTTCTGGTTTACGGCTTTCGCCTCCCTCTGCGGACCTGTGTAGCATGAAGCGTGGCAAAAAAGACAAAAATATAGAAACTGATATTGAGGGAAGTTGAAGGATGACAGAAAAAAATCGATTCTTGCAGCAGGCAGGCAGAATGGCAGCAATGGGTTCAACTAGAGGACACGTTTTTCTGACCGATTAGGTCTGTTTCGAAGGCTCAGACTGACCCCTCTGAAACCCTTGACCCGGCGCGGACAGGACAGCGCTACGTTTTACATGGTCAACAAAGCCCTAGGGCGAGTTTGTCATAACAGCGCGGCCGGGGCACTGTAACCCGAGGGCACCGTGCTATCTCTTCCCTCACACAGTCTAGTAAACTATCGGGGCCCTTAAAACAACAGCAGCCGTGGCCTTGCAAAGACCCATCCTTAAACATCTCTCCCGTCTTTTGGTTTGAGCAGCTTGAGAAAGGCCCGCATAGTCACCATGCGTGTCAAGACCTGCAGAATACACACCGCGAGATTACTTTACGATTTCCTTTATATGTATTTCAGTAGCTGTAACACTGTGAGGGAGGCCAAGAGGGCCTTCCGCTCCAGAAATATGACGGCAATTTTGTGTGACAACGTCTCGTATTGTATCATGTAAGCCCCCTCCTTTTTGCTTTCCTTGTTCTGGTCTCCACTCCCTCCTTCAAGGTTTGTTGGAAAGCTCGCCGCTTGGCCTTGTAACGCTGATGTGATGGTGTGGTGCCTGTTTTAGCTCACGCCGCTAATTGCGAAACAAATAGCCCTCGCGCATTGCTGAATTATTATTGTGAAAAGCCACGGAGCGGAGGTCAGCACCGCATAGTCACAGAGATATATGGCCCGCGCGCGCCAGCTTTGTGGGCCTGGGCTGAGAGCCTGTGTGTTTGTGTGTGTGCGTGCGCATGTGTGTGTTTTAAAGAGACACATATTAAGTAAGGCAAATCACCATTGTTAACATTGCCAGCAAAACGCAACCCCTCCCCTTTCTGCTGCATTACTAATCTACTATTTCATCAATATTACTGTACTATTACCGATATCTACACATGTTCTACTACAACTATTTAGTAAATATGTTTAATCTCTTGTTTTGAAAAATGCAGATTAGGCGTGCATTTATTTCTTTAACTCTCCGTATCTCTCCAAACGGGCTCCAATTCATTCGATATTAATATTTAACTAACTGAATGGCTGCTGCGATACAGATTCCATTATTTCCTGGGATAGCGAAGAGTAATGAGTGAGATCACTAAAGAGGAATTTTCAGGTGCTTTATTTGTTACTCTTGACTTCTGAAAACCTGACTTCAAATTTAATTTGCAACTAATAGTTCGCGTATGCTGCAGCTATACCGCATATTATAGTCATGATGATTAAATTCGCTGATAGCACGTGAAAATATAAATCATTATTTTGAATTAAAATTATTATTGAAAATAATAATAATAATAATAATAATAATAATAATAATAATAATAATAATAATAATTTAAGACGCTACATTTCATACACTAGTTGGGTTAATCTAAATCCTTTCCCTGATTGCAATTTTATAACAAACGAACCTGACACATGGAAAATGCACGTTTACTTCAAGCAGCTGTCCGGCGAGTCTGCCTATCAAAGAATATATATATATATATATATATATATATATATAAGGCACTACGCGTTCATGCAGCTTTTGACAGATTTACAGTCCCCAATAAAAGAGGGTATTCTCAGTGCCGTAAATCAATCTCCGCCTCTCTGTATAAACCTAGCCTTTAGCCAAACGTTCTGTTTACTCAAGCGCCAGTAAAATCTGGGATATTCATTGACTATTTTTTCTTTATGATCTGAGTTCTCTCTTTTCTTATAATAATAACAAGAAGAAGAAGAAGAAGATGATAAGCATACTGGTTGTTGTTGTTTTATTATCATTACCATATATATTATCTTGCTGATGCACGTTTAGTAAATTACAACTATTAAGAAATATCAAATGCATTTATTACTTGCATTGTAAAAAGCTCGCGACACATAACATAGACTGGCATCGAATTTTTATATAATTCCTATCCCAATTTTTAAAGTCTATTTTAAAGATTCGGTTTCTACATATTTGTTATTTCGCTTTAACTTTGCAGATGATTTGGTCACTAATTGAAGTACGGAATTTAACTCCATTCCCATTGTCCTAAAATAATTTAAAGACATGCAAGAACAAAACAATCGCGTTGTACTTTTTTCGAATGACGTTTATCATTAGGTATTTTTTATTTCTGTTGTGAGCATTACTAGGCCTGCATGTATTTCCATTTTTTTTTTTTATAATTACAATCTGAAAATAGACCTTATAATAAGAAATCGCTTCGTAGTT